TCGGCGACGACGCGGTTGGGCACGCGCCGCGCGCCGTCGGCGAAGAGGACGACGTGCTCCGTCGACGCGAACTCGAGCGCGTGCTCCGGCCGCTGGAAGCACGCCTCCGTCAGCTGCGACGCCCGCGGGCAGACGCGGTACTTGTAGCCCCCGCCGTGGTTGAAGGCGATGTACCAGGAGACGTTGACGACGGCGCCCGCGGTCCACGTCGCGCCCGTCTCCCGCGGCCGTAGCACGTAGGTTCCGAGGTCGCCCTGCTTCGCGTGCTCCGTCTCCGTATACTCGGCGCCGTTGTACCTGCGAGGGCGCCGCGTGGCGGCGGCGGCCCGGGCGACCTTTTCGGCGCCGACGCGGCGCATGGGATAGGGGCTGCCGCCGGCCATGCCGCACGCGTCGGCGACGGGCGCGAGACCTGGGCGGGAAACGGGTGATTCAACGTCGCTCCAGCGTGTGCGAGTACGTGAATGGTTTCGACACGAGTGTTCGGCTCTCTGGAAAGAGCTCGATTCGAGCGGTTTGAAGTTCTGCTAGACGGGTCCGGCTCATCGGTTGTTTCCCACACAGCGCGAGGCCCGGCGACCGCCACGGCTGGTACCGCCAGACGTCGTGCTCCGAGCCCTCGGTCGCGTTTAAATTGGCTGTCCAGTACTGCTTCGCGAGCGTCGCCTCGAAGGGCTCCGCGCGCGTCGCGTTGCAGTGGTCCCAGAACGGCACGCGCTGCCCCAGGCCGTCGCACTCGGGGCAGCCGGGCGTGCAGCCCTGCGAGAACCAGAAAACAGACTGGCCCGGCGCGCAGGAGTCAGTGCCGTTGGCGCAGGGCACGGCGAGCGGCTCGAGCGTGCCTGCGGGGACGACGTCGGCGGTGGCGCGCGCGCGACGAGGCGACGCCGCGGCGCGCCCGTTTTGGTGGAACCGTTGCCCCAGCTGCCCGTGGCGTCGATGGCGTTCCGCGGGGCCGGCATGAGCATGGCGCCGTGGGCGTCCGCGGCGATCGGCAGCAACGCGACGACGGCCAGGAGCGGACGACGACGAGCCATCGCGGAGAGCGGACGGCGTTCTCGAGAAGCGCGAGCCCAGTAAGCCAGCACGGCGCTGATCATGAAGCTTCACGGTCGACTTCAACCCGCGTCCTGCCCCCGGGATTCGGTCGTCGGCGTCGCGCAGCCCCGGGGTGTGTCGTTACGCGGCCGCGCCCCGATCGCCGGCGTCGAAGGGCCGCGCGGCGTTGGCCTCCGCGAGCGCGCGCGACACGGGCGCGAGCAGGGCGAGCGCGTCCCGCTCGGCGACGCGGTCGGACTTGGGGAGCTTGGCGCCGAGGCGGGCCTCGACGGCCGCGAGCCAGCCGAGGTCGCGCTGCGTGACGACGCTGACGGCGAGGCCGCGGCGGCCTGCGCGCGCGCAGCGGCCGACGCGGTGGACGTAGTCGTCGGCGTCGCGGGGCATGTCGAAGTTGACGACGAGGTCGACGGCGGGGAGGTCGAGGCCGCGGCTCGCGACGTCCGTGGCGACGAGGATCGCGCAGGACCGCTGGGCGAACTTGCCGAGGGCCGCGAGGCGCCGCCGCATGCCGAGCTTCGAGTGGAGGCACGCCGCGTCGGCGCCGAGCGCGTCGAGGAGCGCGTGGACGTCGTGCGCGCGGCGGCACGTCTGCGCGAAGACGATGGCGGACCGGGGCCGGGGCCCGGCCGCGTCGGCGCCCTCGCCCAGGAGCCCCAGGGCCGCGAGGAGCCGCGCGAAGTACGCGTACTTGACGCGGTTCGGGCAGAGCACGTACTCCGCGTCCAGCCCCGCCGGCACGGCCGCCGGGGACCCGCGGT